AGGAGGGGAAGGGACCGGGAGGGAAGCGGCACCAAAGCCACGCAGGAGCCCAGCAGGAAAGCCCCTTCCCCAAAGCCACCACAGCAAAAAGGCCCTTGGGGCAGCGGCCTGAGGGGGGGCTGGACCCTCCTGCAGCTCCCTGGGGGGACCATCCAGTCCCTGCCACCCCTGTCACCAGGCCAGGCCACCCCTGTCACCCCACTGCCAGAGCCTCCCTCTTCCAGCTGCAGCTCCAGGCACATCCCCCAGCACTGGGGAAAGGCCTCGGAGGGGGATCTTGTCAAGTCCTCCCCTCCCCAGGCGGCAGGGAGCCCTGGGCTGGTCCCCTCCCCGTCCCTCTGGTCCCTGTCACCTCCATGATGGGACAGGAGGAACTGGTGCTGGAGCAGCTCAGCCCAGCAGGGCCAGGGAGGCACAGACTCACCCAGGTTTGCTGTGATCGCCCCGCTGGGACATGAGCAGTGCTGGGACCTTGGCCAGGGGGTCTGTGCCCCCTCCCCAGGGAGCACCTGCATCGAGCACACTTGTCCAGGACCACTGGGTTTCCCTGAAGCCATCCCCACCACCAGCCACAGAGCCCCAAATGGCACTGGGAGCTCTGGAGAGCACTGGGATGGCCCTGCTGCCACCAGAGGAGGGGCTTTTTAGAGGGGCGTGGAGTGATGGGATGAGGGGGAATGGCATGAAACTGGAAGGTGGAGCTGAGATGTGAGGGAGAAATTCTGGGCTGTGAGGGTGGGGAGAGCCTGGCCCAGGTTGCCCAGGGAAGCTGTGGCTGCCCCATCCCTGGGGGTGTTGAAGGGCAGGTTGGATGGGGCTTGGAGCAGCCTGGGCTGCTGGGAGGTGTCCCTGCCCATGCAGGGGTGGGGCTGGGTGGGCTCTGAGGTCCCTCCAACCCGAGGCAGTCCCTGCAGCCCCCGGCCGGGCTCACCTCCTGCAGATGGCGTACATGCGGTTGACGGTGGAGATGCGGAAGGGCTCGTTCTTGGAGCGGGTCAGGCTGCTGCTCAGCGTGCCCAGCCCCAGGCGCTGGTAGTCCCGGCAGCAGGCACGCTCCACCAGGTGGTTGATGGTCATCTTGTCTGAAGGTCTGATGGTGGTGGTGGGGGTCAAAGTGCTTCTGTCCATCTCTTCAGACACTGCGGAGACAAAGGGGAGTCCCCCAGTGTCAGAAGGACACGGAGCTGTTGGAGAGAGGCCAGAGGAGGCCCCGGAGATGCTGGGAGGGCTGGAGCAGCTCTGGAGCCAGGCTGGGAGAGTTGGGGTGTTGAGCCTGGAGAAGAGAAGGCTCCAGGGAGACCTGAGAGCAGCTTCCAGGGCCTGAAGGGGCTCCAGGAAAGCTGGGGAGGGGCTTGGGACAAGGGCAGGGAGGGATGGGAGCAGGGGGAAGGGTTTCCAGCTGGCAGAGGGAGCTGGAGCTGAGATGGGAGGGAGAAATTCTGGGCTGTGAGGGTGGGGAGAGCCTGGCCCAGGTTGCCCAGGGAAGCTGTGGCTGCCCCATCCCTGGGGGTGTTGGAGGGCAGGTTGGATGGGGCTTGGAGCAGCCTGGGCTGCTGGGAGGTGTCCCTGCCCATGCAGGGGTGGGACTCTCCTCTCCATGGGGCTCAGTAGGTACTGACAGCATGTTGAGGTGCTGACTGGTCACCCCCACCATCCAGGACTGGGAGAGGTGACCATGGTGACAACCCCTCTGCACCAGGGACACTCCCACACCTGCTCCCCCGCAGAGCAACAGCTGAGACCTCTCCCAACTGGAAGATGCTCCTGCACCTTCCAGCACACCACCTGCTCCCCATGGATCCCCTCCCTGCTCCAGGTGCTCCCCACCTGAGATCTCATCCTCGTTGTCCTCCAGGACGTGCTGGCTGCCCCGCTGCTCCCAGGCTGGGGGGGTGTATTTCTTCCGTGTCACGTACTGGCGGTTTATAGTTTTCTTGGCATTTTTCACTAGGTTTTTGGAGAGTGTCCTGGAATAAGAGAAGAGGTTGAGGCCCAGTGCCACCATCCCCTGCAGGTGCACGAGCCCAGCCCAGAAGAGCAGCCCCTGAGGGTTAGAGACACCGACACTCAGTCACACCCAGAGCAAAGCAGAGACAGGAGCATCCCTCACCGCTGGCCACAGGCTCAGAGCCACTGTCACCACAGCAGGGGAGATGTCACCTGCCAGCTCCCCAGGAGCTGGGTCCTCGGAGGGCACCAAGCTGGAGCAGAGCCTACACCTTCCCCTGGGGTGACTGGATGGGACAGCCATGCTGAGCAGGTGTCCCAGCCTCTCAACCTGAGGGGACACCAGCCTTGTCCCCAGCTCTACCACCATCACCTCCTCACCAGAGCTTCCACAGGCAGGGATCAGGCTGGTCCCCACAATGTTGGGCTCCAGCTCATGGCAGGGGCCAAGGGATCTACTGCAGGGACATTGTCCTGGACACAAGGCAGAGGGGAGGCAGCTTGTGGAGGGTCACCTGCTCAGTGCCAGGGACAGGGCAGCTGGGCCACTCCAGAGGGCAGCCTGGAGAATGCAGGGATGGGACACTGAAAGAGCTGGGGGTGTTGAGCCTAGAGATGGATCCAGGGAGACCTGAGAGCAGCTTCCAGTGCCTGAAGGGGCTCCAGGAAAGCTGGGGAGGGGCTTGGGACAAGGGCAGGGAGGGATGGGAGCAGGGCGAAGGGTTTCCAGCTGCAAGAGGGAGCTGGAGCTGAGATGGGAGGGAGAAATTCTGGGCTGTGAGGGTGGGGAGAGCCTGGCCCAGGTTGCCCAGGGAAGCTGTGGCTGCCCCATCCCTGGCAGTGTTGAAGGGCAGGTTGGATGGGGCTTGGAGCAGCCTGGGCTGCTGGGAGGTGTCCCTGCCCATGGCAGGGGTGGGACTAGATGGGGTTTGAGGTCCCTTCCCACCCAAACCACTCCATGATTCTGTGACACCTTCTAAAACCCTTGGGCTGCAGGGTCCAAACAGGTGGAGCTCCAGAAGGCAGAAATTCCTGGAGGCAGGAACCATCTGCCCACACACAGGACCTCAAGCTCATCACCATCATCTCTGAGAGGCCCTGGGCTCAAAGTGGGACAAATGCAGGAGATGTGGGACAGGCAGCAGCCTGGGAAGGGTCACGTCCAACCCAGGGGAACTGCTACACTGATCCAAACATTCCAAGAAATTCACCTTCTCAGGGCAGGGACCCACATGGGAGGAAGAGGCACCTCGTTGTGCTTTGCACAGCACTGGGGGAGGGAATCCAACTGCTCCTGACACTTCCCCAGGGCAGGAAGGCCTTGGGACTGAGGAACAGGAACAAACCCTCAGGAATGGAGGCCGGGAACAGGAGGGCTTTCTAACCAGAGGGGCAGCGTGTGCAGCTCCTGCAGGGCACTGGGAGCAGATTTTGGGGGGTGATAAAGCAGATGTCCCAAGTTCACATAGATCTGAGGGCAGCCCAGGCCTGGAGCTGGGCCCAGCAGGTCTCTGGAGGTTGGTGGGACAGACACAGCTCCCTCCTGGGGCCAGGTTGGATGGGGCTTGGAGCAGCCTGGGCTGCTGGGAGGTGTCCCTGCCCATGCAGGGGTGGGACTAGATGGGGTTTGAGGTCCCTTCCCACCCAAACCACTCCATGATTCTGTGACACCTTCTAAAACCCTTGGGCTGCAGGGTCCAAACAGGTGGAGCTCCAGAAGGCAGAAATTCCTGGAGGCAGGAACGATCTGCCCACACACAGGACCTCAAGCTCATCACCATCATCTCTGAGAGGCCCTGGGCTCAAAGTGGGACAAATGCAGGAGATGTGGGACAGGCAGCAGCCTGGGAAGGGTCACGTCCAACCCAGGGGAACTGCTACACTGATCCAAACATTCCAAGAAATTCACCTTCTCAGGGCAGGGACCCACATGGGAGGAAGAGGCACCTCGTTGTGCTTTGCACAGCACTGGGGGAGGGAATCCAACTGCTCCTGACACTTCCCCAGGGCAGGAAGGCCTTGGGACTGAGGAACAGGAACAAACCCTCAGGAATGGAGGCCGGGAACAGGAGGGCTTTCTAACCAGAGGGGCAGCGTGTGCAGCTCCTGCAGGGCACTGGGAGCAGATTTTGGGGGGTGATAAAGCAGATGTCCCAAGTTCACATAGATCTGAGGGCAGCCCAGGCCTGGAGCTGGGCCCAGCAGGTCTCTGGAGGTTGGTGGGACAGACACAGCTCCCTCCTGGGGCCCAGCAGGGAGCCATGGAGCAGGGGATGCCCCCCCAGCTCCGAGGAGTGCGGTGCTGCCATGGGGAGAACACGACCCCCAACCTGAGGGTCGTCCCATCAGCCTGGACAGGGTGATCCCAGGAGAGCAGCCCAGAGCCCAGGACATGCAGAGCAGGAGAGCAGAACCCGGGAGAAGCCTCAGCCAAGGCCACCTGGCAAGCCCAGGGTGAAGGCATCTTACGTGGTCGAGTGGCCAAGGTGCCCAAGGGACAAGCCCCCCACTGCCAGGCCCTGGAACATATCGGTCACCTGCTGGGAGCTGAGTCACAAACACACGGGAGACACTTAGACTGCAGGGACACAGGGGACAGAGGGGACAGAGGGGACAGCAAGCACCACGAGCAGCACTGGCCACCCCTGGGGACAGCAGGGACACCCCCAGCTCGGGAGGGGCAGCACCAGGCAGGGAGCTCCACCAGTGCTGTGGGGACACAAGGACAAAAGGGACATGGAGAAGGGCCCCGGAGCTGGGGAAGGGGCTGGAGCAGAAGGAGAAGGGGCTGGAGAACTTGTGAGGAGCAGCTGAGGGAGCTGGGGGTGTTGAGCCTGGAGCAAAGGAGGCTGAGGGGAGACCTGCTGGCTCTGCAGCTGCTGAGAGGAGGTTGGAGCCAGGGGGGTCGGGCTCTGCTCCCCAGGAACAAGGGACAGGACAAGAGGGAACGGCCTCAAGTTGTGCCAGGGGAGGTTGAGGTTGGATCTGGGGAACAATTCCTGCCTGGCAAGGGTTGTCAGGGCCTGGCCCAGGCTGCCCAGGGCAGGGGGGGAGTCCCCATCCCTGGGGGGGTTTCCAAGCCCTGCAGATGGTGCTGAGGGACACGGGGCAGTGGGGACTGGGCAGGGCTGGGTTAATGGTCAGACTTGATGGTCTCAAAGCCCTTCCCACCCATTCTGTGATCCTGTGGGAATGCCATGGAAGCAAACACGGTGCTTCCCAAGTAACTGCACCTCTGCCTGGGGCTGGGGGGGCAGCTGCAGAGCATGAAGCATCTCCTCCCCCCCCCAAAAAAAACCCAAACCCAAGCAGAGATGTGAGAGGCCAGAGGAGCAGCAGGGACCCCAGCTCAGCAGCCTGTGCCCCAGGCCCCACAGCCTGCAGGGTGGGCCAGAGGAGGGAGAGAAGCCCCCAGTGCCCAGGGTGGGGGATGAAGCTCATCCCAGGGGCTGCCCCCCCCCCAAGGGGTACCTGAGTGAGGGGTTCTTCTCCTTGGCCTTGGGCTGCATGGCCTGCTTGGGGGACTGTCCCACGGTGAAGGCGAAGGTGCCCCGCACGTGCTGGGGGTAGCGCAGCTTGTGCAGGTGCTTCCTGAAGATCTCGGCGCTGTCAGAAGCCACCTCCTCATCAAAGGCAATCTTCAGGAGCTGGGGACAGGGGGGAGGGGGTGGGGAGGGCTCTTCCCACTGCACAGGGCACAGCTCAGATCCCAGCTGGGAGCAGGGACCACAACGGGGACTGGGCAGGGGGGCTGTCCTGGCTGCCCCACAGCCCTTCCTGCTGGAGACTGGTCCATAGCCAGCATCTCTGCTCCTGGGTGTCCCAGGGCCTGGAGCAGGTGAGGTGGGCAGGAGGGAGCAGGCAGTGCTTGAGGCCCCCCCTTCTCCAGCTCCACAGCTCTCTCAGATGCACAACACTAACCACTCATCTTGTCATTTCTCTCCCTGCTCTGCTTCCTCTCCCTCAAGACTTGCCACAAGGTTTTGCAGAACCACCTCCCAAGGTGTCATGTGGAGACATCTCCCACCTTCCCTGGGCTCCAGCAGCCACTGGAGCAGCTGGAAAGGAGCCCTGAGCTAAGGAGCAAGAAGTTGCTCTTGTGTAAATCAGCACTGGGGCAGCTCTGCTCTGGAGCCAGGCTGGGAGAGTTGGGGTGTTGAGCCTGGAGAAGAGAAGGCTCCAGGGAGACCTGAGAGCAGCTTCCAGGGCCTGAAGGGGCTCCAGGAAAGCTGGGGAGGGGCTTGGGACAAGGGCAGGGAGGGATGGGAGCAGGGGGAAGGGTTTCCAGCTGGCAGAGGGAGCTGGAGCTGAGATGGGAGGGAGAAATTCTGGGCTGTGAGGGTGGGGAGAGCCTGGCCCAGGTTGCCCAGGGAAGCTGTGGCTGCCCCATCCCTGGGGGTGTTGAAGGGCAGGTTGGATGGGGCTTGGAGCAGCCTGGAATGGTGGGAGGGGTCCCTGTCCATGCAGGGGTGGGACTGGATGGGCTTTGAGGTCCTTCCAAGCCAAATCATCCCGTGACTCTCTGGACCACAGCCTACTCCCTTCTCTGCCTGGGGCCTCCAGCTCTGTCCATCTGTACCATCACCTGCTACAGGAGTTGTCTCTGTCCCCCTCAGGACAACCACCACCAAACCACGCCAGCCTGGGCAGTGCCTCATCCCAAGGGACAGTGCCAGCCATGGCCAGGTCCCTGCTGGGCCTCACCAGCAACGTGCTCCTCAGCTGAGCCAGGAGCAGCCCAGAGCCCCAGGAGCCTCACCTGGAATGTGCAGGAGCGCAGCTGCAAGCCCTCCTGGATGAACTGATCCACCTGGCCCTGGATGATGATCTTCTTCTCTTTGGTCAGCGAGGCGATGGGGAAGGACCGGGTCACCACCTGCTCCCCCACTGGGGCAGGGATGGGACCAGGTCACCACAGCCCATGACACAGCCCCAGCACGGGGCCAGGCTGCACCACCCTTGCTGGCCACCACCACAGGGAGCCCCATGGGATAAAGCCACCAGGAACAGGCCAGGTGTCCTTCAGCCAGCCCGTGTGGTGGCTGGCAGAGGATACCCAGGGTGGCCACGGGGAACTGAACAACAACCCAAGGTGGAGAGCAAGAGCAACCACCTCCTTTCTAGCACTGGGAGCAACCATCAAGCTTGTGGTGGTTGCAGCAGCCCCCAGCAAGGCCCAGTGCTGGCTGGGCAGTCAGCCCAGGCTCCCACCAGCACCTCCTGCAGCTACTGCTCCAGGAGACCCCCCGGCCACCCTCTCCCCAGGGAATCCCAACCCCTGAGGACAGAAGGAACCCTCACCCAGCTGGTCGGTGGGAGTGCCCTTGAAGATGATGCGGTAGGTGGTGAGGAAGATGGCCCCCTCGGCAGGGAGCAGGGGGGGCCCCCCAATGGTCCCTCCTGCAGCTGCTTCCCGGCCATCAGGCATGAGGTACACACGGAGCCCCTCCATCACACACTCCTCTCCCACCAGCAGGTTGGGGCGCAGCAGCTTTGGCTGCAGGGATGGAGAGAGGGGAGTTCAGGCCCATGCAGGTCATGGAAGGGGACCTGACAGGCCCCACCAGCAGCAGAACCTCCCCCAGGGCAGCAGCCAAGCCCACACCTTCTGGATGGGGGGCAGCCTCTTGCTCTCCCTGTGCACGGCATCCAGCGTCTCGATGTGCATCTGGACAATGTCTGGGGACAAACGTGACCTCAGTGACCACAAGGGAAGTCCTGTCCCAGGACCTGCCAACCTCCCCAGGGCTGCCAACCCACAGCACCACATGGGCCTTCTCTTGGCCTGCCCACTGCAGAGCAGCTCCTGAGCAGCCCCCGAGCTGATCTGCAAGGATCATGGGATCACAGAATGGTCTGGGTGGGAAGGGACCTTAAACCCACCCAGTCCCATCCCTGCATGGGCAGGGACACCTCCCAGCAGCCCAGGCTGCTCCAAGCCCCATCCAACCTGCCCTTCAACACCCCCAGGGATGGGGCAGCCACAGCTTCCCTGGGCAACCTGGGCCAGGCTCTCCCCACCCTCACAGCCCAGAATTTCTCCCTCCCATCTCAGCTCCAGCTCCCTCTGCCAGCTGGAAACCCTTCCCCCTGCTCCCATCCCTCCCTGCCCTGGCCCCAGCCCCTCACCAGGGATCATGACGTGCAGCCCCTTCAGGTGCTCGTTGGTGACCCCGCTCTCGGTGCAGACCTTGTCCACGAAGCGGTTGATGAATCTCACCACGTAATTGGCCACGTCTGAGCTCTCGGCGTCCTCGAAGCCGCTCTCGGTGTCGTAGCTCTCGGCCACGCTGCCCGCGATGCTGCGGGGGAGTCACCCCAGGACATCTCCCTGCTGCAGCCCAGGGCAGGCACAGCCCGGGGGAGGTCCCCCTCCTGCTGTGATCCCAGGGCAGCCCCCACTCCTGGTGTGAACCCAGGAGAGCCCCCACTCTTGGTATGAACCCAGGGGAACCTCTGCTCTTGGTACGAACTCAAGGGAACCTCCACTCTTGCTATGACCCCAGGAGTTCTTCCACTCCTGGCATGACCCCAGGAGAACCTCCACTCTTGGTGTGACCCCAAGAGAGCCCCCACTCGTGGTGTGACCCCAGGAGAGTCCCCACTCGTGGTGTGACCCCAGGAGAGTCCCCACTCGTGGTGTGACCCCAGGAGAACCTCCACTCTTGGTACGAACCCAGGAGAACCTCCACTCTTACTATGACCCCAAGAGATCTTCCACTCTTGGTATGACTCTAGGAGAGGTTCCACTCATGGTATGAACCCAGGAGAACCTCTGCTCTTGGTATGAACCCAGGAGAGCCCCCACTCTTGCTATGACCCCAGGAGAACCTCCACTCCTGACATGACCCCAGGGGAACCTCCACTCTTGCTGTGACCCACCCCCGGGCACTGTGTCCTGCACGAATCCCCAGGGTGGCTGAGTGACCCAGACGCCCACAGTGCCCCCTCAAGCAGGTCCCATCCCCAGCTCAGGTGGCTCTGGTGCCCCCCAGCACGGCCCCCCCAGGCCCCAGGGCTGGCCCACCTGTTGGTGAGGAAGCTGTTGCTGATGCTCTCCAGGTCGCCCAGCCCCGAGGCGCGCAGCAGGCGGCTCCTGCTGGTGTCCAGGGGCAGGAGCAGGTAGCTCATGCGGTTGGCGTAGTGGATGGCCTGGCTGAACACTGTGCTCTCCTCCTTCTGGATCA